CTTAGATTCCTTCCCGCATTATTGACAGCGATTCTGACCAATCATCTGGCTTGGGTGCCCACCGTCATGCCAAATGGGCAGCCTCCAATCAAGATCTTCCTTGAAAAGCACTCCTCCCAGAGCGTCGACATGCTGGCAAAGACGCATCCCTACAATCCTCTCTGGGCACAGCTAGGTGAGACGGTCAAAGACAAACACACAGGCAGAGAGAGCGAGATGTGCCTCTGCTTGTTGTTAAAGCACCTGGGTGGAGTGAAAGTAAAACGTAACACCTGTGTTTGCTCTTTATTTTCACTGGAACATTGTTGCCATTGTTAATCATTACAACTTGAAGACAAGTTATGACTAGACTATGTTCCCTACCTGCAGCTTTAAATCTGAGTGAGCTAGATGTCTGTGCATCATCCTAAGAGGTGTAATGCAGACATTGTCGTTTAAGTCATCTCAGAAGCAGCGGTCATTCCAGTCCACATTGCATGTGTAATATAAATACTGTTTAAAATTGTAATAACTTGAAGTGAAAACTGGGTATACTGTTAAACTCTCCCTGATTCATGTGAAAAGCACTGCGTTGTTTTACAGAAGTTGAACTAATTGAAGTACTGAGATTTATTAGTAGTTGGCTAGTATGTAAAATCCTATAATAAATTTTAAAGGGAAGTCTTAATGAGTCCTCATTTTTACTCATGTGACATGGAATGTAATTAGAAAGTGAGTTTACACTGACACCTAGTGTTAACAGCTGAGAGCTGCAAACAGTCATATGTAAAGAGAAGCGTGAAAGAGATAACCAAGTACAGTATTGTTGGTGTGTATGGGTGTTTAAGTAAACAATAAAGAAGAAAATATGATATTTTTTACTCTCCAATAAAACTTGTATTCAAAATATACATTTCCTGTCTGAGATTAGGGAAAAAACGAAAAATTATAAAGCCAAGAAAATATGGAATTAATTAACATATTTGTAAAAATGACTGTTCTTTTATCTTTTTGTAGGGGACCTGTATGGGGCTATTGGCTCCCCAGTTCGGCTGTCAAAGACTGTAGTAGTTGGCCGCAGACAGGAGCTTGTCCAGAGACTCCTTTATGTCCTTACCTACTTCATTCGCTGTTCTGAGCTGCTGGAGACACACATGCTGGACAGTGCTGAGGACGAGGCCATTGTCATGCCCGGCTCCCTTATAACTACCTCCCTTAGAAAGGGCGAGGTGGAGGAGTCGGATTATGTCCTGGTTACCGTCCACAAACCCAGCGGAGACTACCTATCCCAAGGGGCCCACAGTCAGCAGACTGAGACAGAAGACAGCATCTACCCTTCAGACAACAGCCTGCAGAGCAGCACATTCACAGACAATGAAGTGGAGCACAGTGCTGGAGAGCCGCCCAACGAAGAAGAAGAGGAGGAGGAGGATGAGGATGAGGAAGACAGCAGCGAGAGCCAGGGATCGAGGAGCAGTGTGCTTCAGGCAGGACACGGCCAGGGCACAATTCCCATTAACAGGACTGCAGAGGTGGCAGAAGCTAAGGATGTGTGCAAGGAGTCTAGCAGCCGACTGTTCACAGAGGCTCGAGTGGAGACGGTGCTGCACGTCGGCTTGGCTTCCACCAGGGAGCAGGTCTGTGTGCTGGATACAGAGACCAAGGGTGACCTGAAACCTATTGATCCATCCATCCCCACAACCCTTGGATCAGATCCATCCTTACCTGTTCCCACAGAAGTTAAAAACTGTGGGTTAGATGCTTTAATTAATGCAGCATCTGGAAACCAGACCACTAAAGTGCTCCCTGCTCGGCCGTTGGGGATGCATTTGGAGAAGAAGCCTCCAGATAAGAACCTGATTGCTGGAGTATCAGTGATACCGGGAAACTCTGTGATAGGGCCCATGGCTTTGACTCTGCCAGAAGACGAAGAGCCAACAACAAAAGTGACTTTTCTCATTGGAGACTCCTTGTCTCCTGAATCAGACACAGAGAGCCGCGGAAGGAAGGTGGAGGAGGACTACAAGAAACACATGCTGCAGCTGCAGCAGCCACCACAGCATCAACGAGGACAGCATTATCAGCAGCAACCGCAGCAGCTGCAGATGGGAGCCGAGCTAAAGACCAGCTGCACCAGAATGTCAGAGGACCAAACCAAACAGACCAAGGCAGTTTCCACCCTGCAGCGGGTACCGAGCAAGATCTCCCAGTGGGACCTGAACTGTAGAGATGATTTTGATGTTTATTTCAACCCTGGGGAAACTAGGACTATAGATAATGTTGCCAAACAACATGAGGCCAGTAGGAACAAGGACTCGGTGGACTTTTCAGCGGCTCCTCGGTATCATGAACTAGGGGATCTTGGCTTTCACAGCAAGGCCAGGGTGCAGGGTTTGGGCCTTTGTTTAGGTCCAGGTAGTGGAGAGATGCAGTCATGCAGGAAGGGAGAGAGGTTGTTGGATATGGAGAGGAGGTGCAGGTGTGAATCTACAGACTCTTCTGACATCTGCGTCTGCAGGGGCTGTCCTGCTGAGCAGGACAAAGATCTTGTGTTATCAGTCCCTGTTCCCCAGGATGCAAGGAGTAACAGCAAAGAGGACCAAAAGCACAAATCAGCGCCCATCAACGACTGGGAAATACCACGCAATGAGAGCTCAGACAGTGCGCTGGGAGACAGTGAGAGTGAAGAGACTGAGGACTGGCAGGAGGAAGTTCTGGTGCCTTTTCCCGGGTGAGTAGAACTTGCTCAAAAACGTGTTTGTGTTTTCAGCAATAGCTGATTAGTTGTTGAGGAAAACGAAATCTATCCACAAAATATGAGATAAAATAAACAAATTTCTCATGTCATGTTTCATCGACAGGTCAAAGCTGGTGGAGAACTACTCTAAGCCAAGCATTGCTAATTTTGGCCGGTCTCTCTTTGGAGGCTACTGCCCCACCTATGTGCCAGACTTTGTACTGCATGGGATGCCCAGTGACGAGAAGCTACGGCAGAACCTCATGACTGAATTAACCCATGCAGTTCAGGTAAAGACTGGAAGGACTTACTCTTTAAGGAGCCACACATTTTCCTTGCATAAACAAAAAGCTCAATGGTGGTGTCGTACCCAAAAAGGAGGCTTTGCAGCATCAGGGAGTGGGCAGCCTGAGATCATGCCAGTAGTTAAACTTGAACTCTACTTTTCAGCTGGAAAATGATTCTAAGCACACAATTAAATCCAGCAGAAAGTCACTAAGAAATTAAGAAAAAAATGGAGTTGACTTATGCATGTTTGAGAAGTAATAAAATGGAAGACTGGGTCACGTTATGGATATTCGTGCTTTTTGTGCTTTCTATGTGTATTTCATTGGTTTAAATGGCCATCCTTATCCTCTTGTAGCATCCAGTATTGGATGAGCCCATAGCCGAGGCCGTCTGCATTATAGCAGACACAGACAAGTGGACAGTGCAGGTGGCGAGCAGTCAGAGACGAGCCACCGATGTCAGCAAGCTGGGGAAGGAGGTCCTGGTGTCCAGCCTGGTTTCCAGCTTATTGCAGTCTACTAACCAGCTTTACAAACTCAACGTGTCCCCCAACTTTGTACGCTAAGTCTTCATCTTTCTGCTTTAGAGTCAAGATCATGTTGACCCCTAATAATTTGTGTGTATACAGTAAATAGCACTTATATTATTGCTTATAAGTCATGCTCCATGTGTTGTTCCTCTCATCTTCAGTGTATAATGCACCTTGAGGACCGTCTGCAGGAGATCTACTTTAAGAGCAAGATGCTTGCTGAGTATTTGAAGGGCCAGACCAGAGTCCACGTGAAAGAACTGGGCATGGTTTTAGGGTAAGCCCTTTACCTTTTTTCTTATTCCGACTTTGAAATCTTAAAGTTTGTCTGTGTAAAGGTTCATCTGCACCCATTTCAGCCAGTTGTTTTCATCATTACAGCTAGTGACTTGGATACTCCCATCTTAAAAAAAAATACAGGTCTTGAATAAATTTCCCAGGTGAACAACAGTGTAAACCTTTAATCTAACTTTTATTTATTATTTTATTTGGTATCTTTGCAGAATCGAGTCCAGCGACCTCCCCTTGCTAGCTGCCGTGGCCAGCACTCACTCCCCCTATGTTGCCCAGATCTTACTATGAAACAGTACTGGCACTGAGGTCTCCAACAGTTCGCTTCCTGGGGAGGTCGGTCAGAGCTGTGCGGTGCCACCCGGCCCCAGAAACGGGCCGTCCACGCTCTGCTGCTGACTCTCTACATGGTTTCCTGACCCGCGTGTCTGTGTGGCACAGGTCTTTATGGACCACAGCCAGAGCTGACGCTTAAACTCATTGCTGCTATTTCAGAGCAATGATGATGTTGAACCACAGGGTGGAGTTAGAGACCACAGACCCAGAGATGGAGCGAGGCACTGCGGATGAATGGAAACATCCCTGAGATGACCTTCTCCTGTCGTTGTTTGAATGTTTTTAAATAGGACTCTTTCATTTTAGGACACAAAAGCCAAAGACTTTAATTTTATTTTTCAGCTAAAAATGAAAATCTAAGGGCGTCTATAGTGTAATAACAGTGGATTTGTTTCTTCATCTGCTTTTTTCCCCCCTGTACAATCTTAAACCTGGTCATACGAAGTGATGAATAACATGTTTAAATGAAGCAGGTGGATGATTTTAAACTTTCCTTTGAGGTAAATATCACTTGGAAGAGAACTTTATCAATCTCATGCCAATTAAGTCTTTTTGTTTATTGTCAGGACTTTGTTTACAGGCCAAATTTCCCTGAGTTAGATCAAAAGATTTTGCTTTTTGTCAAACTGCAGTGCCCACCTGACTTTTTGTTTTGTTTTTGCAAACTTGTTTTGAAATGGCGAATTAAGTGGCTATGACATTCTTATCACAGGTACAGCACTACCTCAGATCTTCATATGGGCATGTGGCTAACCATGTACAGCCGCCCCATAGAAAACCCTGAGGTACTTTCTAAGCTATTTTAATCATAGGAATGTCAACTGTGCAGACTCTATGCTGTGTTCTCATAAAATTAAAAAAAAAGGGAAAGGCTGTGTAATTCCTTAAGATGATTGATTCACACAAAAAAGGAAGAAACTTATTTTTGCGTCAGAATGTGATTAAATGGGGTCCCTTTATACTGTGGAAAAGCTAAACCATGCATTATCTACATCTATTTTACAACCAAAAAAGAAAAAATGCTGAAATATTTTCACACTTTTATAGCTTTGCGACCTTTATACGATGTTTACGGCGTTGATGTTTGCTGCAATGAGAGGAATAGAGGAACACAGTAGGCCTTATAGTGGATATGTATATGTCAGCTGACACTATTCTCAAGCTTGTTTCTATTACAGTTAGACTCACAAAATACAAAACTATAGTAGGACACGTTTTCCTTTTGTTTTCTTGGCATTGACAGATTTTGGTTGTTATGCAGTACAAGCAGGGTGCGATTTGTTGAGAGTAAAAATGCAGGCTTAGATTTTGTGGAATCTGGGACACTCTTTCTTCTTCCTTTTTTTTTTTTTTTAAATAAATCTTGAATTGATGGGAAAATGTTAACACGTTCACAAACTGCCCGAATCAGAGAGAGCTTCACATATTTTCTAACTATAGCATACTTTTTATCCAGCACCTTGGAGGCAGTGGGACAATTTTTGAACTTCTGCAAATCTCTAAGATGAAAATATTGTTTGAGCTTGTTAATGGAAGCGCAGTCTAACTGCATTCTCTGAAAGCAGCACTCTAACCCTGGGAATTCCACAGTGTTTGTGTGTGTGTGTGTTTGTTCAGCCCAAATCGCACCCTGGGTATAACCCAAGTCTTAACGGAAAAGTGGCATAAATGTGTCGCAGGCTTCTGGAGAGCTCGTTTTTGCTGTTATAATTGATATATACAAATATGCTTGTTACTGTATTTGAAGATACTCCGCTATATCAGCCTACTTTTTTTTTTTTTTTTTTTTTGAACTTTTGGATCTTTAGCCGTCAGAATTGTTGTCTGAAGGCCAAGAAAGATGCCAAGTGGATTTTTTTTTTTTTTTTGTACAAACCAGCCATTATGTTTAAAGGGTATGGATTTATATCTCCTTTTCCCTCTTTGTATATGGATAAATTATTTAGTTGCCTGTGTTTAAGTGTAACGGTTTGTGTAAACTGTACATACTCAAGTTTATTTCCATGTATTTGTACAGAATGTCTTTTAAAAAATTGTCTCCTCGAATTTATTCTTTTCCCAATTTTATGGGAACGTTGTGCAATAAAGATGCTGATGATGAAAATTTCCGTGCCTCTCTGGGAAAGTTTTTCTGTCTCTGAATTTAACGGACAGTTAGTTGACATGACCCCGTGTTTTTGGTTGGTTTACAAGACATTACAAAGTGGCTTTCTGTCAAACCACAAGCCTTTGAGTCACTGGCGCAGCTCCAGCTTTACGTTTCATCACATCCTTATATTGTGGTTTCTTCTCTCATTCCCCACAAACACTACATAATAAACTATTCCATGACTGCATAATTATGTGTAAACTGGTTTTAGCTTTTAAGGAAAGCAGTCTTTCATTTTCTCTTTCTTATCATATGAGCAATACAAATTATGCGTCATTTTTTTGGGGGGGGGTTGGGGTTTTTTGGGTCTGTTTGTCTTACACAGACAGTGGATCTAAATCAGGGCAGACTCTACAACAACAGCACTTTTGTTAAGTTTGGCTGTCAGCAGTCACCATCTGGCTTACACGTTGTACCCACCTTTGAATTTCCCACCCTGAAGCTGTCTGCCACTCCACCCAGCCCTCTCAGTGCACGAGGTTAAATGAACAGAGCACGTACGCACACACTGCAGTTATGCAATAAATGAAGGAGTGTCCTGACTCAAAGCAAATACACTGGTGGAAGCTATGTTTCCCCACAGTAGCAACACTGCTGCCTTATGTGAATGGTAATTTATTAACACAGGGTAACAAGAATCAGTAGAAGTCGAGGCATGTGCACATTAAAGGAGTGGTTTATTGGATCTAACTCGGCTCTGCAGCTCATTCTCTAAGGGCACGGGTTTAATTATGAAATATAAGGACAAAAGGAGCTGAAGAAAACTGATTTTTGCCACCTGGAAAAGTCAATAAGTCATAATTGTGAGGTAGGAATCCATAATTATAACACACAAACTCCAAATTCTGAGAAACATCATCTAATTATAATATACTTTGCAATGCCATTTGTATTCTTCAGGTGGCAAAAATCGACTTCAATATAATCCCTGGAGTCAGGTGTTGCGTTCACACGCGTTAGGGTAATCTCAATATTCCGCAAGCAGAGCAAAACTCTGGTTGCACTTTGCCTTCACATGTGTCCAAAGGCAGAGGGAGGATCTATGCTGCGTTTAAGTACTGCTTTCATAATTCCTACACTGAAACACAGCCTGACCCTTCCCTTCTGCTGCACTGCTTTCAGCTTTTATCTGCATTTTCATTTATGACTGTGGTTGTTTGGAAAAGTCCCTGTGGTATAACAATTTGCATGTCTTTCTTGTAAATAGCGTATGGTAATGTATTGACAGACAATACAGGTATGTATGGATAGTGGATAGATGATGTTATTCGAAGTTTCCATACACTCACGGGCCTAAATGCCATATTTTGGGTTTTTTAATTATTTCTTTGAACTGTTCTTTTCTCATGATAGAAATATTTTACACTGACTTAAAATAAAAAGGTTTTAAACATTTTAGGGTTTTTTCAAATCCACACATGGTTAAAGTACACATACACCCCAGCTAATATTTGGTTAAATACTCCTTAGCAATTTGCACCTTGATCAGACATGTTTAGTAGCTTACAGCAAACGTCTGGTTATAGCTCTTAGGATAACTGGAAAAGGTAATTTAAATTGGGTGGTTGCCTTGTATTTTTAATAGGGTTGAGGTTGTGACTTTGGAAAGGCCATTCGGGTCAGTTTTTTCCATGTTTCAGGTAACTGCTGATTTGAGGTGAAGATAAAGAATTTGGAGATTGACCTCCTCCATTCTTCCACAAGCTTTGTGCAATGTAGGACCAGAAGGACTAGCAGCAAATCAACCGCAAATCATGATGCTACCACCACCACGCTTGATAGCTGGTAGTGTGCTTAGGCTGGAAAGTCTCCAAACATGCCTCTTGTCGCTGTGGTCAGAGAGCTCAATTTTTGCCTGTCCGACTATAAAACCCTTCTCCAGAAGACATTTGGCTTGTCAACGTGGGCAGCAGCACATTTCAGTTGAGCTTGAACAAACTGATTTTGGAGCAGGCGCTTGTCTTGTTTCTTTATCAACACCCTCTCAGTTCATGGTGATGTAAAACTTGCTTCACTGTGGACACTGATGCTGGTGTTCCAGCCATTTCTAATTCAGGTCATGCTTGTGTCGGAATAGTTTTATTTAAATAGTTGTTTAAATGGTTGATCTTGAAATCTGTAGTTGTTTAGAAACAACTGGCAAACAACTGTAGCTCTAAGAGACCTTGACAACTTATGTAAATCTACAATTCTCTTGCTTATATGATCGCTAATGTCTCTGAATTTCTCCTTGTTCTGAGTATTGGTGTTGTGTCAAACCTGCTTGCTGTACAGTCACTTCAGCCTGGGGGAAAACAAAACCAGTTAACAGATATCATTAAACGCCCAGATTCACCATGACACTAATGCCCACGACGAATGTGTGTAAACCTATGAGCACAACTGTAGCTACCACTTGTGGCGCACACGTGTAGCTACTATCACGATGAAATGTAATTTTCGACAGAACGTAAACGCAGCACCCCGCTCGGGCAGACAGATGTCGTCAACTCTCCACCGTCTGATTCGCGGGAGGAGGGATCTAAATCTGAACTCCTGGATCTAAATGACGCTGACTACCGAAGTGGATATTTCCTTTACCAAAGATGTACAGAAATCAAGGCAGCAGGTCCAACAGACGTAACTTTCTGTCACACTTTGGCGGTGCCTGCTCTCTCTCAGACGCACAGTAACGAGAAGCTACTTGAGAGTGAAGTTTCCCCCCCCTTTCTCTTCTCCTGGAGAAGAAGGAGTTCTCGGTCGGTCCGTTTGGAGTAAACTCCATCCATGCTCGGCTTGGCGAGGACAAGATCCACGGGGATTTGGTCATCCCGGGTCGACTAAGAGCAGCTAGGAGACGTGAAGTGAGAGTCAGACGGAGTAAAAAGTCCTACTGTGGATTTGAGCCGAAGTTATGAAAATGACCGGCGCTATGGAAACTTCCTTTAAGCAGGCTTTGAAGAAGCCGCCCTCGCTGCGGACGGCGGAGGTAAACAAAACCAGCGTTTCTTTAATTAGCATTGCCTCGCTAATGTTTGCTAAAATCAGACGTTTGCGCCTCTTGGTGTTTGGAGTTTGACTTGATTGAGCCAACAGTGGCTTGCTTGTGGTATAACGATCTAATTGAGACTTTTCAGTGAAGTCACATGCTCGTTAGTGGAAAGTGTAAGTGTGAACAGTCTGTAATATAGAAAGGGGGGGAAATAGATATTTAGCTAGTTTTTAGATTAGCAGACTTTAGTGTCAGAGTTTCTGATGGTTCTGGAGTGGTTCATTGAGAGGTTGCCTTTTTTTTTTTTTTAAATTTAAATTTTTTTCCCCCACATCCTGTCTTACAAAACAAACCCTAACCTCGCAGCTTCCCATCAGATGGCTAAATCCATAAGCCTGGGAGTGAGTTAGTGCAAACCTCATCCCGATCGAGGCCAGTTAAGTTTAATAGCTGCTGCTCCTTTCTCATCCCTCCTCTGCCTCCTCCCTGTGTGAAGCTATGGAAACACAGCTGGCTTGTCATTGCTTTAATTACACTCTCTGCCCCCCACCCACCCAAAATAACTCAGAGAGTACAGCCCCTCCGTTTTCAGTTTCTGGTGATAGTTTTGAAGTTGTAGGCACATAAAATCAGACTCCAGAATATTGTGTTTTCTTCTTTTGGAAAGGCTCCTTTTTCAGGGGCGCCACCAAGAGGGGGGGCAAAGGGGGGCACTGATCACGCCCAGAAGTTGCTGCCACCCCTGACAAGGCAGTCCTATGTTGGTAATAATTTTAATAAAGGTGAGCGGAAGAGAGAGGAAGACACCCTATGTTGAGATGAAACATTAACTTGTTATTTAAAACCGACTATTATGAATTTCAAACTCTAATTTGGTTTTCATATGTAGCCATTTTCAGTGTTATCAACTTTAATTGCGGGAAATTAACTATTCCATGACTGCATATAATTCTTTTCTTTCTCTCGTTTTCCACATTTTTAAAGAATCTATATTAGACAACAGCATAATAAAACTGGAAATTCTGTTTTTGGTGTGCCCCCATACGGCCACCCAATGAAAAAAATTCTGGAGGCACCCCTGCTCTTTTTTAAAGGCTCCAATTTCCTGTTTGCTTGTGGGGTGTATGGAAGGTAGAAAGCCCACCCCTTTCACACCGTCATAGAGAGCTTTTGTGCAGACTTGAACAAACCAAAACAACCTTGTTTAGTCTATAAATATGACACAGTGATGGCAACGAAGTGGGTCTGTGATTATTTGTGTGTGATACTTACAAAGTAACTCTTTTTTTGACTTTACTGATCATATTTGTACATGGGTGAGTTGCTGTGTGTTTATTTCTTACTTAATTACTTTTTGGTATAATTAAGAAGCTGTAAATTTAGAGAATACAGTTAGGTCCAAAATTTAGACCCTTGTTTGCATTTCAAATCTTTGCTGGGCTGGATTTGGCCTCAGGGCATTATGTGTGACACCCCTGGTCTAAAACTCTCACAAGTAGCCATGGAGTAGTCTACAGCTGAGCCAGTTGGTCATGATTAAGTGTACAGACTGACCCTAAAGGATGTAGGTAGTGTCGTATCATCCATCCAACTATCTATCATCCATTTTCTTCAGCTTATCCAGTTTAGGGTCTGGATCCTTTTGCAGCTGCTGTAATGTGAAAGGGCA